TAGTAACTTTACGAAGACAGGGAAGAGAGACACTCTACTACATTCCTCTAGTTGTGTTATATGTGTTCCTTTTTCTTATCAACTGAGAGCTCTCTTCTCTGGAAAAAAGAAGAAAAAAACTGTTTTGTGCCTCTTTTTTTGTATATAAATGTGCAATTATACTGGATATTCTCTTTTAAAAAACAAAAACAAAAAACACTACAGTTCCTTCATTTAAGCTCCTAAACTGCCATTTGCCGGAGTCCAGCAATACAGAGGTATGTTACTGGGTTTCCAGTTATGCTATTGATAGATGTGGTCCCAAAAGAAGAGCAGAATAGAAAATGCTGTACATGTTACCAAGAATAATTGCTACAAGCAACATGGGTTATAGATCACCAAAACACTAATCTTTGCTCTTGAGCAGTTACATAGTTTGATGTCCTTTTAACTAATTTAAGGAAACCTAGGTTTTATCATACTAAAACTTTATTTTATATATGTATATGATAAATGTTTGTTTTTCTAAATGTTTGTCTTACTAACATGAAGGATTTCCTTTAGTATTTGAAATGGCAACTCTCGTTGAAACAGTATCCAACATGAAATCTTAACTCCTTGCTTTGTTTTTAGACTTAGTGCTGTTTAATATCTGATGACTTTTATATGGTAAGCCAGGGTAAACACATCCTACATACTGCAAATACCTTAGGTTTAAGTATTTTTATGCAGCTTCTTCATTGTGTCACATTTTGTTTGTATATCTATAAAACAGAGCTCAGCTGAGATTTTTCAGATCTTTTTTGGGGGATAAAGAAGGATGGTTAATAGCATTGTTCTGCCATTTCAGAAATCAGGGTAGAAAACAAAATAGCTAATCGTGCTCTGGGGTCTTTGTCCATGACGTTCTTTAATGATCTGTAAAGTGGATTTAGTCATACCAGAACCAAGGAGCTTTCTTCACACCTCCATCATGTCACTGTTGACCTCTTTTACTGATCTTTAAATTGCACGTTTTGGTATGCTTTATTTGGGCATAGTGTATGTGCGCCGTGCTTGCCTGCGCTTCACCAGCGAGAGTCCAGAAGACACACCCCACCCTGCTCACTCACAGTCAGAGGCTGATATTTGTTGCCTTTTGAATCTGTTTGTGGTCAGAGCATAAATTGCTGGCTTTATTCTTGTCCCCAAAATGAAGTAACTTAAAGCAGCATAGAATAATGGTGTTTATTTTTTTTAATCGTATATTAATTCTTTAGAGGAAAAAGTGAATGTAAGACTTTTGATAATCAGCATAAAGCTTCAGAATTTTGATAACGAGGGAAGATGAAGTAACGGGAAACCTTCCAGGGACTGTGCAGTGCAGGGATGGGCTGTACCTCAGCTGGCGGTGTGAGGAGTCAGGAGAGCTGCCTGCCGCAGGCAACCATGAGGGGAGACCATGAGGGAGGTGGCCGCAGGCAACCATGAGGGGAGACCATGAGGGAGGTGGCCGGCCCTTCATCCCGGCTGGGAGCTGGGGGAGGTGATTCGTTTCTTTATTATCTAACCAGGGCTAAAGTTAGGCGCGCAGTGGGTTTTATTTTTATTTTTGTTTTAACAAGTCCCCACTGTATCTAAATACTTAAATTATTATCTGGCCTAAACTATAGAATAGGCCAATTTTCAGAATCACTGAAACTTGGCAATTTCTGTGTATTCATGCAAGGAACATGTAAAATATATATATGTGTGTGTGTGTGTGTACATATACATATATATATACATATATATATATATATATGTATATATAATGGAGGGAAACATACCCTTAGCTCCTTTCTGCTATTTCCACATAATTTTTGGAAATATGCTTGTAAATAAAGTTATAAAGTTGAGATAATCATTTAAAGAACTCACAGACTTGGCAGGCTGTTGGATGATTGTCTTTCCTGGTTCATGAAGTAGTCTGTTGCGCCTGTACCTGTACCTGTGTTCCAATCAGAGATAAGCCTGTAGTGTGGAAACAGCCCATCTGGCTATATAAAAGAACCTCTGAACTTCCCAGGATTTGTTGGTTGTCTTCATTCCATTTTCAAATATAAAACATTCACCTTAAAGTCAAGGTGCTGCCACATGCCATGTCCTGTCAGGATGAAAAAACAAGTTACCACCGAGTCCTTAAGCTGGGGGAGCTTCACATCCTTCTTCGCAAGGTTCAGTGACATTGGGAACTTGCTTTATCGCTGGGTGGTGCCCTTCAGACTTGAATTACTTCTCATGAGGCAGATGCATCAGCCACCGTGTTGTCCCAGTTGCTGTAGACATGAAAGGATTATTTGGAATGATTTTCTTTGACCTAGGGCCACCTAGAGTTGGTCTGTGGTTATTTGTAAACAAAGAGTAGAACTCACGTGCATTTTCAGATAGACTAGGGAATAGCTATCATTACACAGCATTGCCATGAATTTAAAAATATTGAAAAGTTGGAAGTTTGTATATACTGATATCTGCCAACTTTTGTCTAGAGTGGGGTGCAGGGGGGAAAGAGGGGTATAAGAGGGAAAGGGAGGGGAACGATAATGTTTACCACAGGTACGAAGTAGTCACTTTAACATTTGAGACCTCTGCCTCATTGAATTCAGGTTTTTTTAAGTACTTGAAACTCTTCAGATTCTCCTTATTTTACAGTTATTTTTAAATTTCTGAAGTAGAAAGCATTGTTTTGTATACTATTTTGAGAACTAGTAGCAGCCTAGTCTCTTATCCCCTTTAACTTAAAGGTGCCGTTCTGCAAATGGGAGAATGTGTTCATAGTAGATAGCTCAGATTTAATGCTTACATTTGAGGAGGAGACTTGTGCATGAAATACCAGCAGCATTTTTATGAAAATTTCCATATACATTATTTTGTCAACCCTACCGCCAAGCACCTCTTCTTTCCTTTTAATATATATGCCTGGGTAGGGGGAAAAGTTTGCACTTATGTTAGTTACACTCCTGCAATGCTGGGTATAACCTGTGTTTCAGAAACCACTCCTTCCCCTTTTTGTCAGTCCATTGCTTCAGTGACAAGGTCAGGTGCTTGTGGCACGTACTTACAAAGGGGGGAACAGAAGAATTACCTGCCCTTCAGTAGCCTCTGAAAGTTATTAACTTGTGAGGAAAAGGGGAAGGATGAATAGCTGCCAAAGTAATTTATTCAGTCCTTAGTTTTCTTGCGTGACATCACTGTATCTTCTAATTGGCACGAGAGCAGTCTCAGGCTCCAGGACTTCCTTCCCTGCCTGCCACAGACTTCTGACGTGTGTGACTGGCTCTCAGTTTCCATTTGATTACCTAGATAAAGTACTATAAGGTATTCTTGTCAGTTTAGAAGTGGACTGGATAAAATTTCTTTTTAACTTTGTTGTCATTAATATTGCTCTTTATCTCATTTACCCTGTGTTACATACCCTGTGTTAAAAAAGCAAATCATATTGCCACTGAGAACCAAGATGCTAAATGATTACAACTGGCTGATAATAAAATTCTTTTTATATCAAGGGTGTGTGCATAATTGGAATTGATGAGAAATTTGTATCCACTTGTGATATTGCACAACATAGATACCTACAGATTCTGTTTTCATTTCCTTGTGATCTTTATGAAAATGACCTTTGTAGATTGATTATTTCTGTACTTTGTTTATCTGTAATAAACTTTGTAGATCCTGTGAAATGTTATTTTGCCTAAATCACTTGAGACTTGAGTCTTTAATAACAGAGTATCAATATTCACTAAAGTCAATCTCTTTTGAGTTTCTGTGACTTGGCTAGAAGCTCTTGACACTAAGGGTTTAGTGTTAAATTTCCCTGGGGGTGTTCCACTAGGGCATTACTGTACAATGACTTGATGTTGCCACATAGACTTCAAGATATATGATATTTTGGGGATTTTGTTGGTTGGCCTATGTTTTATTGCATAGTGTGAAACGTGTAAAGCTTGGTTAACCTGTATATAGATAGCTTATTGTTGACTATAGTGTATTTAGGATTGCCTGTAATATTTAAGCTTCTTACTTCTGTGTGTGCTGGTAGGAACATATAATTTTTGTACATTATATTTACTGAGATGTTGCCTTTTTTTATTTTATGAATACTTTGGAATTAAAATGTGTTTGCTTCCGTGAGGATTAATTTGGAAAGGTTTTTAATGACATTCCACTGATTTCAGACAATGCTTGAGATTGACTTCAATAAATTGCCCTGTATGTTCCAAATTAAATCCGTGGACTTGTTCATTGCCTGCAATTTCTTGCTACAACTCACTGAGCCAGAAGCCATCATGGGAGGGAGGGGGACCTTGCCGGTAGCTGAGTGACCCAATCGTGTCTGTGAGGCTTGCAGCAAGACAAAGTCCTGTATGAGAGCTAAGTATACCTTCCTCCAAAATGTTGCTATGCTCCTGAGAAACTTGGATCTGAAAATAGGGGATGGGATAGAGGGGGAAGAGTTGCTGCAGGAAAGATCTTTGGAGAGTGTTGCACGCACTGACTGGTGGGCCAAGAGCATGCTGAGGTGCTATTGACCGCTTTCATCCCGTTTTGGTTTATCAGACCAAAGTTGACCTGTGCTTGGCTGGACACGGGGTGCTTAGCCCATTGCTGCACCAGTGCGAGAGAACAGCACTGCTTGCTTTTCATTATTTTTCCAGCTCTGAACAAAGCTGCCTCACCTGCTTCCGGGATTGCTAATCTGCCTAGTGTGAGGAAATGGCTCGCACCTCCCTGCTTGCAGTTCCCGCGCACCCGCCTGCGCACTCCGAGTGGCAGAGATCCGGCCTCCGGGGCGGTCCTTTTCGTCCCCACCCATCGGCTGCCACGTCAGCAGGCGTCTGTCCTGGAGCCTTGAGACCGGATGGGGAAAGCGGCGGCCTTTGGGGCCGAATTGGGCGTGCGGATCGCACTGTTCACAGCCTTTCTGTAAGCGATTTGCGGATGGGACGCCAGGGCCTTGGCCCAATCTTGCACAGATGGGTGTGCGGGCTACGGACCCACCAGAGGCAGGTCAGGGCCGACAGCCCGGGCCTAGCAGCAACGCCTCACACACACACCCCCTCCTGACTGCCCCCATCCCTGCGGCCTGAGGTGAGGGGGAAGGGGGCCAGTAGCCCAGAGGAACAATCCAGAAAGCAAACCAATGTCCTTTGCACTTTTTTTGTTCCCCCTTTAGGGTAATGGAGCTGCTCCCTCCCTTCCAGAGGCTTATTCAACCGGAGGAGATGTGGCTTTACCGGAATCCCTATGTGGAAACTGAGTATTTCCCCACCAAGTCGATGTTTGTGCGTGGAGAATTAGCCCTTCCTTCTGACCCTTACGACGTATGACTAATGCCAGGAAGCAGAAAGTGATCATTTTGGCCCCAAAATGACCATTGTCGACAGAACTACTCTCCTTGTTAACATGCTAAGGATTTTGCTTCCTAAAGTTTAAGATACTGATTTAGAGAGCAAGATGTCAGTCTCTTTTGGCTCAAGAAAGGTTCTGTGGATGGCCTAAGGTGACCTAGAATAAAAGGGTGCTGGTTGCTGGTGGGGTCCTACCAGAACCCAGTTAACCCAGATTCTGTGATCACCGTCACCCCTCATAGGGAAGTTGGGTCTGATGCAGGAGTCCTCCACTGCCCCTACCATCCCTCTTTGTGGGAACTACTTTTAACTAGTATGTGGTGGTTTGCGGTTTGTTTAACCTTTGACATACTCTATTTCAGTTCATTGCTTTTCTCTCTCCACTGTTTCTTATTCTCCTGGTTAAATGTCTCAAGAAGGCAGACACAACAGACAGCAAACAAGCCTGCCTTGGTAAGAGTTAACCCTTTAAAGTTTTTTTTCTCTCACTTCTCTGTGCTTGAGTGAAGCAGGTGCTATCAACTCTGTAGAGGCCAGAGAGCTTTGCATTCCTAAGATAATGTATCCACACTATACCCCAAGAGTAAGAAAGTTATCATTGTAAGAAGTTGCTTAGTTAACCTGATAGGCGTGCCTAAATGTGCTTAGTTTTTGGGCCTCCCTGGTGGCAAGGGGTTAAGTCTCAGCACAGTTCTATCCCTGGCCAGGGAGCTGACCCAGCAGACCTCTCCTCTCACCCACTGCTCCCCTCAGCGGTATATTACAGTATATTATGTATGCTCCCCACTCAGTCCCTGGTGAATGTTTCACCCTCCACACCTCTGGCCTACACCCTAGCTCTTGTATGCATGAATAAATCCATCTTTTAAAGAGTGAAGGGTTATTTGTATCCCAGAAAGGATATATTTATTCTCCCTGTGTTAGTACAGTGGTCACTGAGCAGTATAATTTTTTTTTTTTTTTTTAAGATTGATTTATTTATTCGACAGAACTGGGGTATAGGCCAGAGATGCAGAGGGTGAGAGGCTTCACCAGAGACAGAGTGGGGAGCAGAACAGGCAGATCAATGAAGTACACTGCTGAGGGGAGCAGCGGGCGGGTCAGGAGAGGTCTGCCGTGCCATGTGGATCTCCTCCGGGGCAGGCGGGGATCGAACTCATGGGGAAGTGGCTTAAGCTTCTTAGTGCTGCGCTTTAACCCGCTGCGCCACCAGGGAGGGCCTGAGCAGTATAATTTTTATGCTCAGCTCTGATTGAAGACTGATTGTCGCCATCTATCTCAGAAGACCATAGCTTCTCTATGAGACAGTGACCATGCATTCCTCCTAGCAGAAATCACTAACAGTACATTCCTTTGCTTTCCAGCAGCCAGCCTGGCCCTGGCTCTGAATGGTGTTTTTACCAACACAATAAAATTGATAGTGGGGAGGTAAGTGAGAAGAGTCTGCCTCAGCCATTTCCTTACCAGGAGAGAATGGCACTCTACGCACATCCGTTTTTCTCCTTTATTGTCAGCCTAATCTTTCTTTTCTCATTCTTCCTCCCTCTCTTCCACACTTGGGCTCTTTCCCACTGACCAGCACTCCTGTGTCTTCTAGAGCACGTCCTAAGCTGCAGCCTTTGCTCTTTACCCTAGATAGTATTCCTGTATCAGAGTGGGCCTTTTTTATTCCCAAATTAAACATAGACTCTGAAAATGAAACCTTTCTTTTTGGTGGTGATCATCCTAATCCAGTTTCTTTGTTTTGTCTGGGATACTAACTAATAGTTAACAGGATAATTGATGTCTGATAACAATCAAAATAAATTTCCAGAGTTAAAAATGCTTGTTTTCTTCCAGGCCACGTCCAGACTTCTTCTACCGCTGCTTCCCCGATGGGCAAGCTCATTCTGACTTGGCGTGCACTGGAGATAGAGGCGTGGTGAATGAGGGCCGAAAGAGCTTCCCTAGTGGACACTCTTCCTGTATGAGTACCACATGGACTCCTTTTCCTTGCTTTTTTTTTACGAGTCACTGAATTTTACGTAGGATGCTTGTGAAAATGAAAACATCACACTGCTCTTGTTCTTATATCTAGAGATCGAACACTTCCTCCTCCCTTCATTAATAACCCTAGGGTTTCACAAGTTTGAGCCTTGAGTATTAAGGGAAAATTCAAGCAGAGGAGATAGTTTACAGGATTTGGACATTTTATTGTATTCTTTACCTGCCTTGATCCTGCAGTCTAAAGGTTAAAATTGAATAGCTGCTGTGTATACATAAATTCACGTGAGGTGGGTGTTGGGAAACTAAGGCATTGAGAAGTAACCTGTCCAAAGTCATTTAGCTAGTATTTCAAAATCTGTCTTAAAGTAAAAACTAACAACTTTGTGATGCAAAGCAAAATCATTTTTCTGTCTGTTCCCCTCAGGCAAAAATCTCTATCAGAAGTATATTAAAAAGGGGGGTTAAAAACATTTTCATGCCTTCTTAGCATTTTTGGAAAGCATCCTTTAAAATACAGACTTACAGGTTTTCTCTCTTCTAGTTGCATTTGCTGGTCTGGCCTTTGCTTCATTCTACCTGGCAGGGAAGCTACATTGCTTCACACCACAAGGCCGTGGGAAATCTTGGAGGTTTTGTGCCTTTCTGGCACCTCTACTTTTTGCAGTTGTGATTGCATTGTCCCGGACCTGTGACTATAAGCATCACTGGCAAGGTAAGCAAGCCAGCCACCTCCTGCAAGCTTCTATGTTTTGCTCATCTTATTCCTAGCACTTGCTTACTTGTCTGTCAAATGAATAAATGGGTAAAGATGGTCTGAGTTCTCTATTAAAGTATGGGTTATGGCCATATGGAAGAAGTGAAAGCACTGTTACCTTTTAAAGGTAACAGTACCAAGGAAGAACACCGTAATTTTTCCACTAGTGTAATGTCTACTCATCCTCATGGGATAAGTTCCAAGACCCCCCCCCCATGGGGTGCCTGAAGCCACTGATAATACCACTATGTTTTTTCCTATAAGCTTTATAAATGAGGACTAGTAAGAATAACAAGTCTAACAATGTACTATAATAAAAGTTATGTGAATGAGGTCTCAGTATCAGAATAATCTTTTTTAGACTGACTTCAGTTAACAAATTATAGGAAGTGAAGTTAAGGGTGAGAAAGACTGATGTATTTTGAAAAATCTCAATATCAATGCTCAATCTGTTGTCTTATAAATCAAATTCATTGTCATGGGACTTTTATTCAGAAATGATAAAACATTCCCAAAAACCCACAATCCCTCCCCCAAAAAGGATGACAGTATTGCCTATAGAAGTCCTTTACAAAAGGAGGCAACTCTTAAAGAATTTATCCCTTCCTCTAGAATCCTGTAAATGATGGACAGAGGTTGTTCATACATTAACTTTGTTATTCTCTGGTATTTAAAAATTCTAATCTAGTATACTTGGGAAAAGCTTATTATATTTAAACAAAGGTGTATTTTGATTTAGTGTTTAAAGAACAACCTGATATCAGTAACACTGTAACTTTATGAAGTTTTCTGAAGCTCATGGAGGATGTCTCTATTCTGTGTGATGTCTAAGATGATTTAAGAGTCAAATATGATTAAGACCTTATCTTCTCTCTCCTCAGATGTACTAGTTGGATCCATGATTGGCCTGACATTTGCCTACATCTGCTATAGGCAGTATTATCCTCCTCTGACTGATGCAGAATGCCATAGACCACTGCAGGCCAGACTTATACTTCCCACCACACAGAACAAGCCTGGTGATACTTATCATTTTAATATTTAGAAACTGAAGCAACCTCACTGGAAAATAATGAATCAGTCCCCCACTAACTGGACCATACCCAAGCAGCAATTTCTGGGCCTTTTTTTAACCTCTGAAGAGGTACAAGTGAGGGTGTAAGTACTATATTGTGCCCCCCAACCCCACGTAATTTTATCATGAGAAATGAAGGAACCATGTGCCATACCTTCTGGTAAAGATACCTTGTAGTAGTCTTCCACAGCTTATGGTCATTCACATTGGTATCCCAACATACAGTGGTTTCACAATTTATGTACTGTTGGAAGGATCCTGTCACTAAGGAGCCTTTATTTATGTAGTCCCACTTTCTTCTAGAGCTTGAGGTAACTTCCTTTTCCCATAGATCAACATCTTAAAATCTACAGCATGACCAGTTAAATTATGTTGGTGGCTTACTTTCTCTAGTAGCAATTCCATTAAGCCTCAAATAGGGAACTGTCTGATTCTGACTAATGTAGTCAAAGATGATAGGAATATCTTCAAGTTTGCAGCAGCTTTTTCTATCTACTCTGAATACTGTGAACATCAGTAACTTGGAAACAGATGCTCAGGAGTGTGGTTTCTGTGCTAACAAATGATGACTGTTTCTACCTCATTTGTCCTTAACTGCTCACGAGCTGCCCAAATCCATTCCCTTTGCCAACTGGCTAAGGCAGGAAAGAAAAATCATTAATTTCTAGAAAGTAAATCTTTTTTTCTAGAAAACAATGATTATGGGACATACTCTTTATTGGGATTGTCCTTTAAATATGAGTTTGTTTTATAACACTTTCATATCTTTTCCTTTAGTAAATGTGATATTCAAACAAGGTAAAATGACAGATGTGCTAGATGTGCGTTTTATTTTGTATTTACAGTATCATTTGTGAACTGGAACGTAAGTAAAACACTTAATAAAACCAAAGGATAGTCTCAGTATTTACCTTCTAATTGCCATGCTTTAAATTATAACCTACATTTGCTATGATAATGAAAACATTCAAGGAATGTAAATGTTAAAGAACAGTTATTATATGAATTGTCTTTGGTAGCTGAAGTCAGGTAAAAATAGGCAACTGGTCAATAAGATTTTATTTAAGTATTTACTAAAGTTTTAAATATAATCACATAAAAAACATTTCGAAAAAGTGCAAAATGTTAGAAAGCTAATCAGTGCTATTACTCTTCCCATGCAAACAATCTCTTTTGCTGAGATGAGATAAGCAAGACCAAATTGTGTAGCTGGGCTATGTATAAAACGATGCTTCACCAGAGTTTAAAAATAGGCTTGGTCAAGAGATTGCACATGCTACAATGAAGTAGTGCAAATAATGCACAACCAAACAGGGTTTAAATCAAGCTTATTACTTCTGTAATATACAACCATGATAATACCACAAGCAAACAGGCAGGATATAAAATTCTTTTAGGTATCGGCCCCTCCCCAACAGGAAAGAGCATTTGTTCTTACTACAAAGATGTGGTTTATCTAGCTCTCCAGGGTTATGTTGTTCATCTTTGGTTTTAGGAACTGGTTCTTGCATGTCCTTTGGTTTTTCTGCTAACATGAAGAATAAATTTGAAATTGAAGATGCTACTTAATAACCCATACTTCAAACTCAGAATTTAGTTAATAAAATGGCCCATGTGTCTGAAACTTCTTAGTGGCTTAATCAGAATTAGTTCATAATGCAGATGGGCGGTAAAGGAAACAACTGTACCTCCGTCCATCTTTAGGGTGACAGTAATAAACCTTTGCTTTTCTCTTCAGAAAGGGGTTAAGACCAGTGCTGTGCACAGCTTGCCTGCCTATGCCACTTTATAAACAAGGCCCTGTGGAACTGAGAAGTGAAATGACCAATTAGAAAGAAAATACTCATCGCACATAATGCCTTAAAAAAATTAGTGTACATTCATTCACTTGCCTTCCTCAAGGTTCATCTCACTTTGCATGTTTTGAGAACAACTCTGTAGTATCTGTTCTGTGGGCCTTATAGGTATATGTTTTTCTTTCAGAATAAGAAATATTTTCTCCTAGCCAAACCTACCTGTTCACTAAACACTTGCCCGTGCCATGAGCCTTTTCAATAAGGACTCTGGACACCTAAGAAGACAATGTTTACAAAATGCTTTTAAAGCAGATAACACAAAACCACCTTCACCCAAGTGGATGTCACAGACAACTTAAGCAAACTATTTCACTATGAACTTCATAACCTAAGCAGTCTGGTTAAGGCTGTGTAATTTCAGGTCTGTCAGTTTTTATAACTCCACCCTCAAGAATAGAAGAATCTCCCAACTCCCAATTTTAATTATGATACAAAAGGGCAGATCTGGGATATATACTATTTTTGCTTTATAAAAAAGCACTTAATATGAACTAACTGCCCACTTTAGACTCAAGTAGCTATTAAAAAAATGATCGGCATAGTGATTTCTAGAAGTAAATCTGTCAGTCAGCTGTAGAGAGACTAAACAATACTCTTGATGCTACATTTTAGTCTTTCTTCATACAGTACTTGTAAGAAAGCAAAGCTGGCTCAAAAATTTGTCCAAGTCTTTCCCTATCCAATTAGCCTTAGCATTCAAATGCAGAGAACATCAATGAGAGAAGTGCAGCTCTGAAATGTCTTCTGAACCTCAACTACTTCCAAACAAGAACATTTTCTAAAGAAATGCAGTAATTTTCTAGACAAATTTCTACCCCACCCAATTCAAACTTAAAACATTTTATATCATCTCAAGTAATAAATAGAATTTGGTACCCGTTTACTATCATCAAAGAATTAAAGGTGCAAACCACTCCCAGCTTTTAAGTATTTATGTTGTCCGTGGTAAATAGTAGTAGCATCTTCCCTTTGTTTTTCCACTCACTTCCAAAAGAAGATCATCTTCCAAGTACCCCAAAGGTGAGTAAGTGGCAGGCAACATGCAGGAAATGATGTAGCTAAGGAAAACTGCAGCAACAAACAGGTGAGTTTTGTGGGGAAAGGTCCCTCAATGTCCATCTAGGGGAGAGAGTAGAGAAAAGGACATTATGCAGTCACAACTGGAAGGCACTAGAGAGAATGCCAAAGTTTAATATGCAGACTTTCTAGTTACACACCTAAAAAGCTGAGTAACTGAAATGAGTATTATTGAATCAAGTCATTGGCAACATTTAACTTTTCTCTAAGCGGGATACTGAGCTTTTACCCCATTAATTTTAAGCACAGTTTTGTGTTTAAAAATGAAAAAACCTGGTGGTGTAAGGGATGAAGTCTCAGTGCTGTCTGTAGCCTCTCTAGCATGAGTTTGATCCAGCCAGGTTGCTGACCATATGGCATGGCAGATCTCTCCTGACCCGCCCGCTGCTCCCCTCAGCAGTGTACTTCGTCAAT